TTGTCTTTATCATAGCAACTAATGCAGCCCATAGAACTTACTACACCTTTACTGGTTGATCTCCCCATTTCACCATGGGACAGAAATGCTATCATATTTTGCATTGTGCTCCCAGGGCCCAGAATAGAACCTACAATAAAAGAGGCATGGAATAAACATTTGTCAAGTGAACCAATGATTTATGTGTATTTATTCAATATACACCTCTGAGTGTCATCACAGCCTACAAATTGCCTAAATTTTTATCTTGTTCTCCTTATTTCTTACCTCAAAGCTCTGAAAATTGCATGTTGTATGATTTAATTTCAAAAGAGTCATGAATTGTGTGGACTGGAAGGACAACAATCTATGTTCAGTCCTGTCTTACCACTAACTAGCTGAGGGATTTTTAATGGATCTCCATGTCTTTCTGTTCCTTATTTTTCTCACCTAGAAGAGCTTATTTCCAACCCAAAGATTCCAAGAGTCCAAAAAAAAATCTTTATATATCATGCTCTAGCCAGTCTGGCTTAGCGTATAGAGTGTGGGACTGCGGACTGAAGGGTCTCGGGTTTTATATATTTCAGTCAAAATAGCTATTACAATGTTAAGTATAAGACTTGTTGTTCTTCTAGGGTGTGGTAGAAGATTTTGTGATGATGTTTTGTAACACTAATACAGATCTAATGATTTTAAGTACATAGTATTTTTCCCTTTATTCTAGGGAGAATTTTATGAAAGAAGGAAGAGCTGACTTTGTGTCCAGTGATGATAGCAACAGATTGGTGGACAGATCAGATAGCACTGATGTCAGATGGGATGGATTGGTTAACACACCCACCTATAGTACACGTGTTGCTGTCCCATCAGTTAATATTAGCCATCTGAGGCTCATGAAAAGTGGACAGACAGCAGTGAAATCAACACCAACCTCACCACTTAGATCTGGATATGAGCCACTTCCTACGCTGAACTGTACAAATTAAAATAACATCACCTCTCCTTAATTTTCTCTCAGATTGTAGAAAGGCCTAAGAATATAACAATATATTATAAACAGAAATCCTGGTGAGTTATAAAATTATGATGTATATATTCGTTATTAGACGAAATCAGACTGTCACAGACCTACTTTTGAATCTGAAGGTCAGTCGGTCTATAAATGTGTATTCAGCACATACTATGTGTCAGACCCAGTTCTAAGCATTGTTCTAAAAGAAGCTGATTCATTTTTCTGGTTAGAGTAACAGAAAACAAACACACACAAAATTAAAAAAATAATAACAATAAAGTAATATTCAGAACACCTGAGACAGCCACTTCAGTGATGAAGCACAGGAAAGAACTGAACGATACCATTCGGTTTGAGAGCTGTGATGCTCTGAGGAAGAGCAACCTCAGCAGATACAAAGGCCCCGAGTCAGGGATGAGCTTAATCTCTCTGAGGAATGGGAATAGCTAAGGCTAGAAAATAGAGAACGATGCGGAACAGGTGGAATATGAGTCAGAGAGAAGCAGAGGCCAAGGGCAAGAGTTTAGGTTTTATTCCATGTCGTGGGACACCATTAGAACATTCTAAAGCAGTGTAGTATATGTTCAGTGGCCCCAATCTACTGCCCTTTAAACCAGTTTTTCCCTTCTGAGGAAAGTGCTAAGTAGACAAACAGTTTCTCAAGCAAATTGAAACCAACTTAGACACATACTGTTTTCTTTGCTTTCTTAAACCTGTTAAATATTTAACTCCACCTGATTCACTAAAATCAGAAGGTCACTTTAATTTATTTATTATTGGTTTGTTTTACTGAAAACCAAAATAAGAACAGGAGTCCTTCACAATAAGTCATGACTGTCAGTCCATGATCCTAAAATTCAAAATGAAGGATTATTAGAATTCATTCCCTGCTTTGACTTGGTATTTTTAGTATTCTGTTGTAAGAAAAACTAGAGGTAGGAAGGTTAGAATTTACGAACAGCTCATTTTAATAAAAACTCTTAATACTTTATGCAAAATTAGGCTTACTAATAGAATTAGATGCTGAGTGTCATCCCAATGTTCCCATACACTTATCCACAATTATTTACTGGGCCTTAGAGTCTTATGGTTATTAGAATTTGATCTTTTAGTTTTCACCTAGGCAAAAACCTAATCATTTTTGATTAAAATGTTTAAATAGTCAAAGAATAAAACATGATATTAGAAAATTTAACGTATCATTAGTTCATGTGCATTTCTGAGTAACTATTGGAAGAATTTAGATATATTTGCTGTATTGTAATTCCATAACATTTAAAGAATTATCCTTTTAAAAATAAAATCTAAAGAGTAACCAGGATCAAACCAATTACTTCTCTTTATTATAATGTTACTTACTTAAAGACTTTGTTTTTGTTTTCAGTTGGAGAAAACAACATTTAGATGAGATTAAAATCCCCCTTAAAGCCAGTTAGGTTTTTAAAAACCAGTATTGAAGCAACCTGGGCTGTGCAAAATTACGTGCTGTCATATACCTTGCTCATTCCAATACGCCTGCACACACACACACACACACACACACACACCACTAAATTCATATCTTCACTCTCTAATCTGGGAGGCTCCCAGAAACGAGTGGGCAAGTATACACTTTTTGGTGCTGACCATTTTTCATTTAGGACCTCTGCTTTCTCTCTCTGCAAAGCTCACCCCTGATTAATCGAGTCAGTGTGGGCTGGCTGCAATGTGCAACAATCACACCTTCACACAGAGAGGGGTGCAGGGGGGCTGCGTCTAGACAGACTTTTTGAAATCAGCCAGGAAGAGACCTTTGTTGTCACTTTAGGGTTCTTCAGTATTCTGGTGTGGGGGTGTGGGTGTATCTAAGTCTCAGTATCAATCCAGACATCTTGTAATTTGGAAAAACATTCTGATTTATTTCATGACATTGATAAATTTTGCTGTGTACCTGAATGACAGATACCTATACAGAATGTGAAATGCTGTCTTGACAAGTGTTGGCCATTTTTTGAAAACTACTTTTGGGAGAATTATGAAGCATAATAAATGTTCTATAGACGGCAACACTCTGGCACTGTTCTCATTGAAAGAGTGAACTTGAGATGTCAGATAACCAATGTTTTAAACAAAAATTATAGAGTATCACAAATTGTTTAAGCTGTATCCCTAATTTAGCAGTGAGCATATTTAAATGAAGATGAGCTAAAGGGTTTGGTAGCCATGGTAACATGATGTGAAAATATGCCATGTCATTCCAGTCTATTAAAAATATATATTATCATTTCAAAGGTTTTGTTGCTGCCTTAAATATTGACTGTAGAGGAAGAAAGGAGAGAATGAGAGAATGGAAGGGCAATGGATTTAACATTTTATTTCAAAATTGTTGGTTTGAAAATAATGATGTAAATTCTAAATAAATTTGACTATAGACAAAACTGATATTAAAAAATTTAAAAAATGTGAGAAAGTAAACAAAAATCAACTTTGCTGCCTTACAAAAATGTAGTAAGTCTATTTCCTGCAAGTAAGAGTCCAGAAGTGATGAGTAATGTTATATTTTTTAACATTTAAGTTAATTGCTTCAGAGCACATAATTTGTGGCTATTCATATGAGCAACAAAACCCCCAAAACACAACTTTAAATAAGTTTAAACAAGCATGCAAGATATTCAGAGTTTTATTCAAAATCATGAAATAGATTATTAAATTGAGATTATTGTGGATAATTTAAGGTACAGAGAGACAAAAATGAAAATCATCCACATCTTATATTTATTAAAAACCCAGCTAATGTTTCGAAATTTAGTCTTAATTTTGTTCTATGCTAGAAATCCATATCTAGCTGTACATTTTTTCTTGTAAAAATAGAATCATACTATATATAACTATTTATAATTTCAGAGCCTAAGAGTCTAGCTTTGATGTCAGACACACTTGGGTACTAGTTTCAGCTCTCAGTGGCATTCCCAAAGTTGTATTTTGGAACCCATCTGAACTTCCATTCCCTCATGTGAAAAACAGACATAAGAGTAAAAGCACCTCTAGCAAACGACCATTGTCAGACCTGAGCTATCAAACTGAATGAAAAAAAGACAATCAATAGATGGTAAAGCAGATCTGACAGAACGTTGGGATTTTCTGCCAAAGATTTTAACAGAGCCATCATGAAATGATTCAATAAGCAATTATGAACACACTTAAAACAAATAGGATCTCAGCAAAGAAATAGAAAGTATAAAGGAGAACCAAAAGGATATTTTGGCGCTGAAGAATACAATAACTGAAATTTTAAAATCTCAGTAGTAGGTGGTCAATAGTAGAATGGAGGGGGCAGAGGGGGGAAAATCAGTGAACTGAAAGATGAAACAATAAAAATGACTCATTCTAACAAAAGAGAGGAAATTGATTTTAAAAAATGAACAGAGCCTCAGGGACCCATAGAACTCATACACAGGATCTAACACCCATGTCATCACAGCCCTGGAAGGAGAGAAGAAGGTAGTGCTGGAAAACAGAAAACTTGTCACCAACAGACCTACCTTATAAGAATAACAACCGGAAATTCTCTAAATAGAAGTGAAATAATAATAAAAGGTGGAATCTCAGAGCATCAGGAAGGATGAAGGAACATGGTCAATACAATAGACTTTCCTTTGTTCTTGAGCCTTCAGCAAGGGCTGAGGACTCCTCTCCTTATAAGATACTAGAAGCCCAATGCACGAAAATTTATGCAAGAATCGGCCTTCCTTCCCCTGGCTGCCAGCTCACGGTGGGCTTGTTCTGGCAGCCTGTGCAGCAGCGGCAGACACCCACAGGCACTAGGGACCCGGGCTGCCTTCCCTCTGCCCCAGCTTTGTCATGAAGGATGTCCAGGATGATGTCTGGAAGACATTCGGTCTAATTAGCATATTACCCTTTTATTATTATAGATGGGGAGCCATTGCAAGGTCTGGCCCAGAGGAGTGAAGTATTTTGATCTGACATTTAAGAGGATCTTTTTGGCTTCTGTAGGGACACCAGAGTGGGAGCAGGGAGATGGGACATGGTAATCCACAGTGAGATGTTGGAGACCTAGACCAGGGCATCTGCAGAAAAGGTGATGAGAAATGGTCTACTTCTGGACATGTGTTGAAGGTACAGTAAACTGAATTTGCTGTTGATGACTTTATAGCAAGAGTCAAGGAGCAACCTCATCAAGAACAATGCCAGGATTTTTGTTCTCGGCAACTGGCGGCATAAGCTTGCTATCAACTGGTGAAAATAGCTGCTGGTTGAGCAGATATGGGGGAAGATTATGAGTTTCGTAATGCCAATGAGAATTAAAATTTGAGAACACTTAAATTCGCTGATTACCTTCTCATGTAAACATCCGAAAACATTTATCTGTTTGTGTAAGAGTGCCATCCTCAAACTGGGAGATTTGGAAATATAGGACCATTAACTATGATTTGAACAATATATACACAATGATGGAATACAAGAGAAAAATGACAAAGCTATCATTTAAAATTGTTCAGGATTCATAATTTTTAAAAGTAAAGATAAGTAATACACTTAAAGTATGAAAATGTATAAATATTATAAAACATAAAATAAAATTTAACTGTAAAATATAAGTGATAGGCAAACCTGAACATTCCAATGGAAATAATTACAAGGTAAAATTATAACAACATGTTGAAAAGTAAACTACAGTATAAAAAATGAATAAAATTCAACCAAAAAAATTTTAAAAGAAAGTAAAATAATAATTAGTTTTCCAAAAGTGAAATCCTTCAAAACCAAAGGAAATTAATGATGTCATTATTGAGTTTGAATATATTTTTGGTGCATATTTTCTAGGTCTTTCATAAAGTTTTTCTGAGACTAAAAGGGTCTTGTCAAGAGCGCAGACATAATTATAAATCAACTCCAATTATTTTCCTTAGACTCTTATTTTCAAACAATTTTGTGCCTTATTCGAGACCTTTGAAGACTTCTTAACAACTTTTTTTTATTTGCAAGAGCTGAAATGTTTTTACTGAGTGGAAGCTGCAATTTGTGTTTCAAGGAATATATTACCAATTTATCGTCCTTTACTTTCATCACTTACTGATGGATATTTCACTCTTCAGACAGTCTTTGAACTAAAATAAGGATTATTTGTTCAATAAAAGTTTTGCTCTGTGGATCTTCATCGTTCTCTTGCTTTTGGAAATTATTTATATATGGAAAAATGCTTTCTAAGCAGGTGTACCTTTGTTTATATAACACTTTAATCATTTAAAAACTGGCTGAATTGTAAGATGGAAATGATTTAGCTTTCAGATTCTTTTAAAAATCTGGCATGACAATAAGAATTCCAACAAAAATATCGTATCTCAATTCTTTAAAATAGCCTAGTATACCAGAACTCCTGAATATATGAAATTGATATATAAATTCACTAATAAATAAGTACAGCTGAGTTCTAAAAACCAAAGCCCTTCTTCATTTTTTTCCTCTTCAGAGATAGTCAGACTTTACCTTTATATTTGCATCAGTATAAGTTTTGTTCCAAACTGTATGGAATTTAAACTGTATTTGACTGGCCCATTTAACCTTTTCCATGTGGTATGAGGGCTCTTTTCTAGTCACAGATAAACCTTCCATCTGCTAGTGTTATGATTATCTATACTGCCTACAGGTAATGTTGAAAAGTTATATTTTCACTGTGTAATCACTGATTTCACCATGAAAACATACTCAAAATGTAATAGGTTCACTGGTATTTTTCACATTCATGAAAAATAATTACAAACAAAATAAAGATCATTACAAGAAAAAAAAATTTTTACACTGTCTAGAATTTACACACATGGCCATCACTGGCAGTCAGGGTGCTGGGAAATGTATTTTTCATTCTGGACAGACATTTGCTTGGCTAACAGGTAGTCTCTATTACTAAAGGAAGACTAGATGCTGGAAGATAACTAGTCATCTTCAACAGGGAGTGACAATCCTATTTGCCTTTTGACAAAGTCTCTCTTGGAAAGGGTGGAAAATGGACTAAATGGTAAGAGATCAGAGACAAGGAAATAATTCAAATGAAAGCTGTGTCTGTGGCCTAAACCAAGACAGAGGCATTTGGGGAGGGGTAAGTGGACAAAGGCTTAGGAGATATTTGGAAGTTGAATGGACAGGACATGATAACCAATTGACTGTCTTTCTAATTTATTGTACTTATCATGAATACTGCGCCTAACTTGATGCTTATAAGTGAATGAATATATAACATGAAAAAAAGGAATGAATGAATAAGGTTAATAGGAGGATCCCAAGACAATAATAATGGCTCTGGAACTAGTTTGAGAAATATCAATATTTAAAGGTAAATATCAAACAGATTGTTTTTTTAAAAAAAATAATGTCTACCAACTGTAATCTGTCATTCCCCCTTTTACAGTGGGCACTTCGCCCCATCAAGTGCCATCTCCATCTAGTTCTAAAACGTTCAGTCACTTTTAGTTATGATTGCAGTGTCTTGTTTTGGGCATTCACTTGGTCTTTCCTTTTTTTCCCACCCATCCTTCATGCCCCAACCTTTGGTAACCATAAGCTTATTCTTTTTCTATGAGTCTGTTTCTGTTTTGTTTATTTGTTGTTGTTTTAAGATTCTACCTATAAGAGAAATCAAATGGTATTTGTCTTTCCTGTCCAGCTTATTTCATTTAGCATAATACACTCTAGTTCTACCCATGTTGTCGCAAATGCTAAGATTTCATTCCTTTTTATGGCAAATATCCCATTGTATATATGTAACATCTTTTTAAAATATATATTTTATTGATTTTTTTTACAAAGAGGAAGGGAGAGGGATAGAGAATTAGAAATATCGATGAGAGAGAAACATCGATCAGCTGCCTCTTGCACACCCTCTACTGGGGATGTGCCCACAACCAAGGTACATGCCCTTGACCAGAATCGAACCTGGGACCTTTCAGTCCACAGGTCGATGCTCTATCCACTGAGCCAAACCGGTCAGGGCTGTACCATCTTCTTTATCCATTCATCTATAGGCAAAATTCATAGGCTGTCAGGTAAAGATAATAATAACTAAGCAAGTAGCATGTGAAACATAGGCAGAACTTACAAGATAGAGGTATACAGACATAGATGTAGATGTAGATGTTAGTTACCTCTGAGAGAAATTGGTTATAGATAAAGTAAGTAAAGTGTGGATGTACTAAGGACCTAATATGCACCATCTACTTTATAGGTGAGCCATATGGGTACTCAACATTCAGGTATATCAAGTTCACCACTTTTTAATGACATACATTCTGACAAGTAAAACCTATTGGTGCCCATCAGGCTAGTGGTAACCTTTAACTGTGGCCAGATGTACTTGCCTCTGTTATAAACTGTGTGTGTGTTTGTCTAGGCCAGGGGTCCTCACACTTTTTAAACAGGGGGCCAGTTCACTGTCCCACAGATCGTTGGAGGGCTGGACTATAATTTTAAAAAAAAAACTATGAAAAAATTCCTATGCACACTGCACATATCTTATTTTGAAGTAAAAAAACAAAATGGAACAAATACAATATTTGTATTTTCATGTGGCCTGTGGGCCGTAGTTTGAGGACCCCTGGTCTAGGCACTTTCCATCCATAGCCTCTTCACTCAAAGATCACTCTTGGTTCTCATCACCATAGCAGCAGCAGCCAGAGAGATGGGATGTATAACATTGCGTAATCCAGGATTCAGATAGAAGACTCCTGCTTTGCTTTCACTGTCCTATCACATCTTCTGTCTCTTTCTTCTTGCTCTGCGTTTAAATTGATTTAATGAGCTGAGTGATTCACTCATTTTAATTTGGTCTCTGAGCTTTTCTGTCCCATGGCTTTTGAGTAATTTACTTAATCATGTACTTAAAATCTACCTTGCATCATATCCATATGGCATAATTTTCATAACACTAGTGTATGTGTGAATATGTATTACTTTATACTAAAAGGAGCATGCATACTCATTTTTAAAAGTTGAGAGCTCAGTAGAACACCCTCTTCTTCCCAGTGAGTTTGTTTGAGGAGCAAAAGATGCTTATTGTTAATGTAGTTGGTATAAGCTTTTTAAATGTCCCATAGCTTATATTTTATATATTTATTTCTTTGTCCTTCAGTAGTTATTTTTACTTTAATTAGTTTTAATCATTTTCTGATTAATAATAACTTAAAAATAATAGAACTTTTCAAGAATTTTAAAATTATCCCAAATCTTAAAAATCAAATGCCAAGTGTCACTTAGTTGATATACAACTACAAATAAATGATCGCAAAAGAAAATAATACCTTAATTTTTTTTTTTTTAATCATTGGGCTCTGCTGTTTTAACTCAGTGAAGACATAATAGCCTGTGGGTAATCCAGGGAAAAGCTGATGAGATGTGCTCTTCTTTCAGGTTCCCTAGATATGCAATTCAGGTCAATTTCCAACAAGTTTGATGATCCAACAAAAGGAAGGAAGTCTGCAAAAGCACAGACTGACAGCATGATAAGTAATATTATAGCCCTTAAGGAAGCAAGAGTAACATAAAGGGTTGCTGAACGCGTGATTGAATTGTCTGGGCTCTCAGTGGGAGCACTGAGATGTTGATAAGCCAAATGAGAATTCACAACACAAGAGTTGCCAAGGTCCTGGTGCAAAACCCTGCAGAGAGGATGGGTAAATGGTTATCTAATCTCAGTCATTTCAATCGGTTTTTTTAAAGAGCCAGACTCACATTTGTAAACCAACTTGAAAATCAGCAGGATATAGAAGTAAAAAAAGAGAGTTTAGTAGATGTTGCACCAGACACTAATGAGCATGGTAGTCTCTCTAACCACAGGACGCAGAATCCTTATATTTAAAAGGCACAGACCCTTGGGTTCATCCCTTAATAAGCCCTTTAGTGGAAGACTATGAGTAAACTTGAGCAACCTTGAATAGACAAGGAAATCAATAGAACTTTAGGCTTCATCCAACTTTATGAAGAATAGCAAATAAATAAAAGAACTATCAGCTTTAGGGTACTCTATCACTTTTGAAAACAAAACCATAATGTAGAGGAAAAGAATTTTCAGTGATGCTTTTCACCACAGACTATGATATGACTATACTTTTTAAATGTAAGATGTC